CCCCGCGGGTCCGGGGCAGCCTGGGACGCGCCGCGAGGCCCCGCCCCTGGCGGCCCGTGATTGGACTAGGGATCCTCGCCGCGTGCTCATTGGCGGCTCCAGGAAGCCAATCACCGAGCTCTTCCCCGGGGCACTCTGGGAGATGTAGTCTCGGGCGCCGGGCCCCAGGGAGGCTGAGCGCGTCCCCCTACCGGCAACCTGTCCGAAAGCGGAGGAGCGCCCCTGCAGGGCGACGCCGGGTGCGAGGCCGAGGGGGGCTTCCAGCTGCTGTGTGCACGCGGGAGCCCGGACTTCGGCCCCAGAAGACAGGTTCCAGTTCCGTTTTCCTAGTAGCTGACGGGGCCAAGATGCTTAACCTCTGAATCTCCGTTCTCGCGCTCTGATGGAGTGGTGCTAACTGTGCTTTAAGAGGGGTACTCGGATTTAGGCGTGCCGGCGAATGCGCCTGGGCTGCCTTTGTGCATAGTATGGACAGTGAACTTTTGTGCATAGATGGTGTCAGATGCGGGCTGCACACTTGGATGCAAAGACAGACGGGGGATATAGCACCCCTCTCTGTCTGGGAAGGGGGAATTCTAGGTGTTCACAGCCCAGTGAAGACGAGCAAATGAACAGAGGAAAGGGAAAAAAATAAAAAGAAAGTAGCACGACATGTACAGCGTGCCAAACAGCTGCTGTATTCTGCAGGTGTCTCGTGTTTCTGGAAGGAAGTCCGTGAACTAGGTGAGGGCGCTGCAGTCCAAGAAGCGCCAAAATAAGCCCCCTTGGGAACATTTGAAAGTAAAGGGCAGCTCTCTGATAGCTGGAGGAAAAGCAAATGAATCTAGAAAAGCAAATAGCGATTCATTTGTGAAGTTTACTAAGCTTTTTATTCAAGTGCAAATTTTCATGCCAGTTCCATTTTTTCCATCTAAAATTCCTAATAACTGTGCATGGCATCTTTTCCAAAGATGGGAAAGACGGAGAGAGAGGGTAAAACAAGGAAGAAAGTGGTCGTGAGTAACTGACGATGGTATAACCGGGCGGCCAGCCGGTCCTTCTGGGGAGGAACCACCACAGTGTGGGACTGTTCTTTCCCTTTACAGGGGAGGAGGGGGAGTAGCCTGCCTGACAGAAAGTGAGGTGTGCCCATGTGTAAGTAGCATGTACTTCTGATAGTATTTCAAGTGCTTTCACACTCGGATGGCCAGTTACTAAAGATCTCATTATAAAAGGTCCTATTAGAGCCATTCATTTGGATGGCTTACAAAAATGAACTATTGCCCAAACTCATTATAATTAAATAATGAATGTCTTTCTTTAAGCAAATGTTTAAACACCAATGGTGCATTTTTTTCTTTTTGTCAAACACCAGTAATTTATATCGCAAGGTTAGCTCTGTTGTATGAAATCCTGGAAATTTCTTATTAGAAACTAATTTGATTTCAGAGAAGTTGAAACCTATGACATTGTTCAGATTATCAAGATGTATAATTAATGCTGACGGCAGAACTTTAGAAATATAATAAAGCGAGCTTATTGTCTAAAGTGGCTCTCAAGTTGCATGCTTTGAGGAATACAAAGATTTCAAAACATGATTTCTTACCCAGATAATGGGGGGGGGGGTTATTTAGATAATGATGGTGGAGCCTTTATGAAGGGGATGAGGCCCTGATGGAAGCGGTCAGAGTTTCCTTGTCCCTGCGAGGATACCACAGAAGTCCACAGCTCAGAAGAGCACTCTCACCCGACCAGGCTGGCACCAGGACCTCGGACTAAACAGTCTCCAGGACTGTCAGAAATAAACTTGTGTTGCTTCTATGCTACCCGGTCCATGGTATTTTGTGGTTGGCGGCCAGGAAAGAGGAAGACAAGTGGGCAGAAAGGAAAAGGGCCTTCCTTGTTTGCAAATAACTTTGGGAGAAGGGCAAAGTCGAGAATGGTGCTCAACACTGACACGGGAACTGCGTGGAGGGCCGGCTGGCTGCCTATGAATTCTTGAGTGGGAAGCATTCCTCTCAAAGCTCTTTGCTCTGATGCCCTTTTTATTCAAACACTGTTGAGCTATAATTCACCTATCATGGAGTCAATTGTAACACTGATACAGTTCTACATCTCAGTGGTTTCTGGTGTATTACGTTATTAGTTTTTAGTTGTGTCAAAATAATACATGTGTACCATAAAAGTACAGTGGTCCCCCTAATGGCAGGGATTACGTTCCAAAACACACAGCAGAAGCCTGAGACCATGGACATACGAGCTTTTTCATATACATTCAGATCTAAGCTAAGCTAAAGCTTCATTTAGAAATTAGGCACAATGAAATGTGAACAACAGATAATAGTAATAATGTACTATGAGTTCTGAGAATTGGCTTTTCTCTCTCAAAATATCTTACTGGATATATTTTCAGATCTCCAGTAACTGAAACTGAAGATAATGAAACCTCAGAACGGGGGTTACTTATGTCTTCAATTCAGTGGTGTTATCATATAACCATCAGCTCTATCCATCTCCAAGACGGTTCACCACCCCAAACAAATTTTGCAACGATTATACAGTAATTCCTCATTCCTCTTCACCCAGGAGCCTGGTAGCCAGTAATCTGCTTTTTATCTCCACTCATGTGGATACTCTAGATACCACCTATAAAGTAGATTTATATGATCTTTGTCTTTTTGCGCCAGATTCATCTCACTTAGCATGCTTGCAGGATTCATTCAGCGTGTGTCAGAGCTCCAATCCTTTGAAGGCTGAACAACTTTCCACTGTATCCATACATCATACCTCGCTTACCCAACCATTCCTCCGTGGGCATCTACGTCGTCTCTACCTTTAGGTACTGTGAATAAAGCTGTCGTGAGCACTGACTGTACAAACATTAGCTTTCACTTCCTGTGTGCTAAGTGTTCTAAGTGTTGGAATTATCAGATCCTAAGTGTCTTCTTTTGTGGCATACATCAGTCAGCTACATGGCAGGAGAGAAGACCCAGCCAAATGTACCCAGCTAAAAAGAAGCCATGGCCAAGCATGTCTACATGACAAAACATTCTGCACGAGCTCGGCCTGGCCACTCGTTAGCCTATGAACCTTTCCAGCAAGAGCTTCTCTCATTATTTCGGAGTTGTGCTGATAAGTGGCCCTTTCCTGTCCTTTTATTCCACTAATTTCAATGGATGATTATTAGCTTCAAAAAAAAACAGATGCCCAGGCCCTCCCTGGTGGCGCAGCAGGTAAAAGCACTGCACTAAGAAGCTTAAGCCACTTTCGCATGAGTTCGATTCCCGCCTTCCTGGAGGAGATTCACATGGCGCGGCAGACCTCTCCTGACCCGCCTGCTGCTGCCCTCAGCAGTGTACTTCGTCGATCTGCCTATTCTGCTCCCTACTCTGTCCCTGGTGAATCCTCTCACCCTCCGCATCTCTGGCCTATATCCCAGTCTATATGAATAAATAAATAAATCTTTAAAAAAAAAAACACACACACAGATGCCCAGACTTTCACAAACTTGAAACTTAGGGTGAGGTCCTTTTCTAAGTACCTGCTGGGCATCGCTATAGTGACCTCTATTGGTTAAAATTTCCTTCCTCATTCATTTAGTTTCCTAAACCACTCAGCGCTCACCTCTCATTGGGTCGATCTTAACTCCTCATCTCCACTTCACCCTAGAATTGGAATCCATCCAATTCCATTCACCACTGGAGCCCTGTACCCCAGGATGTGCATATTAACTCAGAGTTTTTAAAGATGGAGGGCTTAAGGGAGGATGTTTGTGCTTAGCTAGAGAAACTGATTAGTTTTTTGAAATTAAAAAAAACAGGGATGCAATTTCTTTTACAAATTAAGTTTAATTGATAATTCAACTTCAGAAATAAAAATAACTTCTGAGTGAGAGTATAAACATGTTTATTAAGTGTTATTAAGTGTTCAGAGTTTCTTCAATTATGAGCAGAGAGTATTGATCCATTCTCTTGACTGTTATAAAGAAATTAAAACGGTAGGTGGGTCAGTCACCTCCACTCATCTAAAACACCGGAAATCCCCAAAGCCTCACAGGTAGGACAACTTCCTGGATTTTCCTAAATGTTTATGGCTGGAATATAGCACCTGCTTGAAGTAAAATAGTCAGAATTCACCTAAACACCACCCAAAAAATGTTTGACATTAAACTCCAAGACTCAGATACTTCAGGAGTTTGCAAACCAACTACTTACTACAATGAAGTAAATTCAATGAAATGTATAAAGATTGAAGGTTCTAAATGGATCAGTGTAGTAAAAGTATTGTTACCAGTTATGAGTGGAAAATCTCACACTTCCAGCTGTTGGTAGAAACCTATAAAAATCTGAGGAAACAGCAGGAAACAGGCACAGCCCTGTTTTTTCTAGTAACACTTCAACTGAGGTTTTGCAAGCGCGTTTGTCTGTCTGAAAATCACGTCCTGATCATGAAGGACTGAGTCATAGTCATAAAGAGAAGTCCTGCATTGCTCTCTACGAGCTGTGGCCGCGGTGGGGTAATGGGAGGGGGGCTCAGCGCATCCCACAGCGCAACAGAGAAGACAGTGAACGCTACAGCCAGGAAACCGAGGAGCGGCTGCTGTCCTCCGGCATGGGGCTGCAGGCGCCGACACAGCCTGCGTCGGAACTGAGAGGCAGTGGTCACACGCCAGGTGCCGGCGGCGACACCTGGGGCGGATGGCAGGACGGAAGGAATCCACCGAGGGAAGTGAAAGTTCTCGGTGAAGGAACTTACCTCGACCATCGCGAGAACCCGGCCCTTCTACAGCCTCCTCCCCGCTGTGTTTGAGCCAGAGGCAGAGAGGAGTTGCCTGGACAACTGCAAGGTGCCGGTTCTGACTCGGCTGCTATGGGCCAGTGTCAGACATCCGATGATTTAAAGGCAGGGTGTTACGGGCCACTCTGGAGGGCCTACACTGACAAACTGCAGAGCACAGAGAAGCCTGAGCCCATAAATAATCCTAAAAACGCACTCTACCTAGAGATCTCCTTGTCTGCTCTGCTATGAAACCGGTTTCTCTCCTTCCTGAGGTCCCCACAGCAGAGGGTAAGTAAGGCATGAAAACCCACCGGTTGGACTACATAATCCTAAACAATACAGAGCTTTTATAATCCCTATTGAACAATTTGGAGCATTACGTGTCTTTCAGGTAGTCTGTTTCTATTCCCTGGCAGTTGCATCTCACAATATGAAATTCAACTAAAGAGCCGGTGGTAACATTTATATTTAAATATGGCTAATTTTTGGAGAAGCAAGAAAGCAAAATACTAAAATCCCAAATATATTCCCCCGGGAATATGCACATATGCACATCAGGTAGGAAGAATCTTTTTTCAAAGTATCAAGCATTTGCCAAGTTTGTGAGTCCCCCGACACCCCACCCCACCCCGCGGTCTTGAGTGTCGGGTATTTGGGAATTTCCCATTTTTTCACTTATCTTCTTTCCCTAGAGTTTCCAATTTCATGCTACTCAAGTAATTTCCTTTGTTTTAGCAAAGAAACAAACCACCTGACACTTCATCACATTTAGCTAAAAATTCAGAAATAAAGAAACCTATGTATGAAGCACACTAGCACATACTGTAGAAACTTAATTGCAGCCAGGTTACATTGCTGGCAATTACTGAACTGCAACATTTTTTTCCTCTTTTAACTTAACAAACTTGCCAGAGTTTCCAAAAACCAAAGGGTGACTTCAGCTTTTATTGCATTCTGGTGGGAGCCACGCTTACAGAACCCTGACATCACAGATCACTTTCCCCGTAGAGAGCGGAGGAAAAGGCCGTGTAATCCAGGGCCCCTGGCACGCTGCCTGGGCCCGAGTAGGCAGGCATCCTCTTGATGCAGTACTGAGCCTGGTCTGGGGGCAGCTCTCGGCGCAGCTCATCCGCCAGGATGTACGGCTGGAAAACAGACGAGCGTTTGCAGAATCCATCGCAGAGAGCAAGGAAATAAATGTTTTTAGTACTTACCCATTTGCTTATGTTTGCTTAGTTCCTAAAGTTAAAATTGAAAGCAGAGAGTCTAACGTGCATAGTACCTGAAAACCCACAAACCCACACGGCTGAGGGTGACTCCGAAGAGCAAATGTGCAAGGTGATTGCTTTTGAGCCAGAGGGAAACTGAATAAGATTCACTAAGCCCATGGCATGATTACCGAATTTCTCCAAGGAGCCATACTGCTGGTGATAAATTTAAGGAGCTAAATTTCACACCAGGAAGATAAAGGGATAATTGGCTCATATAGTCAGGAGGACACAGGGACATAAAACTTAGTATAATCAGCATGTTTTGTTTTTTAATGTATGTCATAGGTGCTTTTAGAAAATGGAGTCGTTTTCCACTCAGTTCCTTAAAGACCTAGAAACCTGCTGTCAACCGAGAAAACCTCGGCTAGGGCACAGGGTGAAAGGGTCATGTCCCAAATCAAACTTATAAACGTGCAGAGATGTACAGCACACTTGTGTGTTTGCACACACACACGCATGACGTCTACCTATATGCACATGTGTGACATTGGGATATTTGTCATTTTGCGAACGAGACTGAGAAATTCTGGACTTGCACTTGCACTCCAGGCCATGAAAGCTTGCCAATTTCTAGAAGTGACTGAATGGCGCTATTAACGCTGCTCCATGGCTGCCCACGACCCTTGAGAGATCAGCTCTGCCTCTTAAGCGAAGCATCCCAGGCCCTAACATCTGAACTGCAACGTGTCCTCTTCCTGGGTCCCATTTGCCACCCCAGAATGTAAAGCGGGGAGGAACCAGCAACATGCAAACTAGTCCACAGCACTCGCCAGTTTGGCTGCCAACAGAAAACCCACTGGGAGGCCCAAGCACAGACTCAAGGAACAGGGCGTCTGTGTGGGCTCGGCCCCGGGCACACCTGCCAGGTTCTGGGCTGCGGGCGGAGTCGATGCGCTGGCATCAAGCGGCTTTCGCCAGACGCCAGACGCCGCTGCCTCGCTTTCTGCTAGAGCAAGGGGTGGCTGTCGCAAGCGCCAGCCGGCGCAGACAGACCTTGTCAGAAGCCAGGATCCGGAAGGAGGCGATGACCTGCTCCGCGGTGTCAGTGTCGGCCGTCTCCCTGGTCATGAAGTCGATGAAGGACTGGAAGGTGACCGTGCCCTGCCCATTGGGGTCCACCAGGGTCATGATGCGGGCAAACTCAGCTTCACCCTGAGGCAAGGGTGAAAGGGGCTTTTACTTCAGCTCAGGGAACTCTCCGTTGTCCTTTAACCTAGGCGTTCAGGCTCCTCTTTCTGTTTGAAACATTAAGTATTCCCTGCACTCCTTTCGGTCTTCCGCACAGTCCCTGGCCGAGGACTGACACTTCCGGAAGCCTCCAGCAGGGGCGTGGATGTCGGAATGTCTGCTGTCCTCCTTGACCCAGGCTGTCTAGAGCTTAGCAAATTACAGCAGAGCAATTCAGAGAGAGAGACCCTCGTGTCAGTGGGGCCGTCTTCAGACTACACGGGGAGCACGCTAAATAGAAGAGGGTTCAGGGGATGGGTTTCCTGATTTTTACTTTGGAGACCTAAGCAAACGCAAAGCAGCTAGTGTCAAAAATACACAGTAAGTAGGTAAGTCGGTGTTCACGTTACTACAGCCCACAGGGAAAGGAAAGGTTTTCTCAGCCGACTTATTACAGAAAAGCTTTTTGCCTTCTGAAACATGAGAGGGGAAATCCCTTAGGACTCGGGGGGCTGAAATGCACAGATGCACACACACTTTCCGCGGCTGAGCTGTGTCCTGTGCTATGTGACTTGATCGCAATCGAACTATCACAAAGTCAGCAGAAACTACGTCCTTTTCCTTGACTGAGGAAAAAAAAAACCCGGCCAGTTGCTGAATAAAAATCTGGCCCCTCCCGTCTCACCAGGTCGTAGCCCATGGAGATGAGGCAGGCTCTGAAGTCCTCGTGGTCCATCAGGCCGTTCTTCCTCTGCCAAGAGACAGGGTGGGAGCTGAGCCCCGGGCGGCAGGGCGACCCCACGCGACCGAGCACCAGGGCCGGGAGGCGAAGGGCCGCGGCCGGGGAGCGCGGAGCCTACCCTGTCGAAGTGGTTGAAGGACGCCCTGAACTCGTTCATCTGCTCCTGGGTGATGCCCTTGGCATCGCGTGTCAGGATCTGCGTCTCCACCTCATTGATGGTCCTGGCGATGGTGGTCAGCAGCAGCTCCCACCCCACGCGGATGTGCTGCGGGGAGGCGCAGACTCAGCCGCGCCCCCGCCCGGCCCTGCGGCGCCCCACAGCGGCCCCCACCCCGCCCCGCGC